GGTATTTCCCCCACAGACCACCAGGGCGGCCGAGAATACCTTTGTTCAACCTGAAATGAATCATTTAATCATCCATAACGTTATGGAACACATTAATTAACTGAAAAATGTTGCAAAGTGTGCCTTTAACACACTTCCTCAGTTAATTCAGCTTAAAACCACAGATTGGGCCCAGAAGACCTGAACTGGAGGACGTTTTCTAGATTAAATGACTAATGTCTCAACAGAATCTTAAAGAACTAATCCATGCATTTTCCTTTGGTTGAATTGATTGGAACATATCACTCGAGTTCTAAAGTCTTTACACTGGCTCACTTTATCTCAGAGAATAGACTTTAAAACACTTCTGTCAGTCTGTTAACCACTCAATGCCTTAGAGACAAAATACATTACAGACTGGTTGGTGAATCAACATCTCAGGCCTCTGAGGTCTTTTGGTTCAAGTCTGCTCTTCATAACCAGAACAAAACATGGAGAAATTTTCCATTCTAATGCTGCACTAATCTGGGACAAATTTACCTTAGGACTAAGTGGCCTAAATTGGTTTGGATAAAGGTTAAAAGCTTTTTGGGGTTTCTTTTTAATTTTCCATTTTAATTAGCTAAAACATCAGTCAGATTAAGAAACCTTTATTAGTCCCATTAGTTACGTACATATAGAGCAATTCATTGCAGCAACCTGGCACAACATTAACAGCAAAGCAAACAGAACGTTTCATACATCTTTCATACAGTTTCTACGTACTTGTAGTTCTCGACTATTTACACATCATCACCATGTATCGCATTCGATTTATGCTCATTTCCACTTTTTATTGTGTTATCGTTTGTTCATGCACAGCACTTTACTCTGCATTGTTTGTCAAATGTGCTATACAAAATACCTTGTCGATCAGCAGTTGCTGGATCTCATTACATCATAATTGTTATTTGTTACAAAATGTTATGTAAGAGATACCTGCTTTGCCAATCCAGAATGAAATGGAACCAACAGATTTAAGACTTTGTAAGAAAACAAGTTAAAATTTCCTGAAAGATTCTTAGAATTCCACCCACAGCAGTAAACTGTGACACAAATTTCTACCTTGAATAAGTGACCAGGACAACTTGCAAGTCCCAAACCAGGGCTGCAGAAATTGAATGATGTATGTTTACGTAAGAGAAAACTAATTTAGTTTAATGTTAGCTCTGATTATATATAGGTCTTAAATCAACTCAATGTAGGGACTGACATCTTTTGCAACAGATTTTTTTTTTCTTTTCTTGTTCCCAACAGTAATATTCTAATAATATAGTGAATTGTTCTGACTTGATCTCCTGAGAGGTATAAAATGTTCTGTCAGAAAGTGTAGTGATATGGCATGGTTGGGCTTCCGTAACCGGGAGCAGGCTGACGTATATACAGTACGCTGTAGGTCTTGTTATTGTTAAGTGCACATTTGCTAATAAAGCTGAGTTCAACAAGCTGCACAAGGGGAGTTTCTTCATAAAATATAGTCGTTCATGACAGAAAGAATCTGTTCTTGCCACAGATTTCTCTATAATTGAGGAGTTAAATTCCGATAAATGCATATGTACAAAAAAATGCACTACTACATGCAAAAAGTATTAAACCTAGCCTTAAAAGTAGAAAGGGTTTAAGGGGTTTAGATTAAAACCTGAGGTTGGTTCCATAAGCGAGAAGCCTGATACTTGATTTGAACTGATATCTGCATCCCATTCTGTTAGAAAATCCTTGAAACCACCAATAAACCTGCAAATTGAGAATGAAATGTTATAGGAACACAAGGAAAAATCAGAGATATCATATAAAAAGAGATTTTTATGGCTTTATATGTGAGGAGTAGCATTTTATATTTTGGATTTAACAGGAAGCTAATATAACCATGTCAAAGCAGGAGAAACAACCTTTTATGAATTTTGGTCAGCAACTTTGCTGCAGGGTTTTAGATCAGCTAAAGGCTTTTAACCACAATTATGTGGACTTATAGTAAGCAACTACAATAGCCCAGCCATGAAGTAAAACATGCATGGGCTAGTTTTTAACCCAATTCCATGACAAGACATTTTTGAGTTTTGCAATATTCCTGAGATGAAACAATATCCTAGAAACCATCTTAATGTAGGATTTAAATGACAAGTCATGACCAATAAATTTCTTGTTTTCAATATATTTTAGCAAGGAAGTAAAACCTAACTGTATTGGTTCATGGCTATATTTTAGACCCAAGTGTTAAATTCATACACATGGCCAGAGATCTCCTTGGCCTGCATTTTTCTACCGTGTCGTTTCCTCGTTATCAAGGGTCTTCAATTTCAGTCCTCAAGGTCAGGTGATTCAGATGTGTCTCTGCTTCCACACACCTAGCCAAATTACCTCCTCACGATGGAGTCAAGTTCTCCAGTCCTGCTAAAACCCCAGCTATTTGACTCAGGTGTGTTGAAGCAAATGCACATCTTAAATGTGCAGGGCATCGGATCTTGAGTGCTGGATGTTAAAGGACCCTGCTATACATGTTAGTGGCTCAGAGTGAGCAGGTCTTCCCCTCTATTAAGATGCACTTCTGGTTTTACTTCTTAGGACAACATCATGGGTTGTTTGACCACCCCAGAAATAAGAATGACTAGAAAATGCTAACCTTTTAGAGATGGAAATAAATGTTGGTCTTAGTTCCTATGGTTCTTAAGATTTAATGAGAAATTATAACAACCAGGGGAAAACATGCATTGAGAGACTAAGGGACAGGATCTTGTTGCATAAATAATTACACATTAAATACTAACATTTTATGGCTTTAAGGCCAAAAGCATCACTATATTGATACAACATGCAAAGAACATGTAATTATTAATTTTAAAAAACAACTTAAAACTATACTGATAATGATCGTCATTATGTTCAATAATCTGATAAAATACACTCATGCAAGAATAACTATTAGGTGTATTTTTCTTTTTTTTTAAATGCAGTCTATAAACTAAAATAAAGAAGAAAATTTAACACAAGTACAGTAATTTTAATTTCAATATTTCAACAGTTTAACAAGTCCTGTTAATCACATTGATGCAAGTGATAATGTTTAAAGTATAAGTATCCATTTTCTTTCGGAAGGATCCATCATTTCTTTTTGTAAACAAAGCAAAACAACATTATACACTGTTATACACTGATAAAACAATGATTAGAGAATACTGTTTTTTCCATCAGAATTCCTGCGGAAGAATGGATTCATGTTGAGAATATTAGAGATGAACAGCAGATAATTAGACCGGTTTCATTCAAGCACCTTTTAAATAGTACAATTACAATCAGACATTTTGACAAAAAGCTGCTTCCTGCCTAAAATTGGATATATGTTGTTGAAAAATCCAAATTTAGTCAAGCACACTTCCCTCGAAGTAGGTACAAAAGTGAATGGCAGTTATTTCATTTTATACTTACTAAGAAAGCTACAAATAACCAAACCTACTCAGCTCTCCCATTGTGTCTTTGATGCACAAAATGGTTGCATTTGATAAATACAATGTTTTTCTGCATTAAAAAAACAATGAAATTAAAAGTCTCTATTAGAGAGAAATGCTATTCAAAAGTTATGACACCTCTGATGTTGCAGATAATCATTGACAGGGAAAACATAAACTTGATATTTGCATAAACTCAGATCAACCTCAATCAAACCTATAGTGCCTTGCAAAAGCAGTCAAAGCCTTAAAAGTACTATATTGAGATTAATGTAATCAATAAGGACAAAGTACTTGACGATTCCAAGAACAAAGACAAATGATACACCATCGTGTTAAGTTCATCATAGGGAATGAAAAAGAAAAACAAAAGCATGATACTGTATGACTCTCAACCTAATCTGACAGAATGAGCAACGTAGGCATTAATCAGAGAAGCAGCCAGGAGGCCCACAGTAACCCTGGGGAAACTTCATAGATAGGTGGCAGATTTTGACAGGATAAATAATAGTTGCAGGCTACATGGTTGGTAATTTGGTTGCCTTGAAACAAGACTTTGGGCCTTTGAATCTTGTCCTAGGGTTCCCAGTGCTAGGTACTAAGTTTCCAACAGTCCTTTTAACTTCGTTGAAATTAAGCACAGAGTTTCACTAAATATTTTGCAAGAGTTAGAATGGGAGGATTTAGATAAAGGCATATTCATGTAGTGTGTCCTAGACAAAGTCCAGACCATTCAATTGAGAATATGTCAAATCCTGAAAACATGCTTATCAGTGCTTTTCATTCACTCACCCAGAATCAACATAAACGTTGGTCTATATATTTGCATACCTGGTAAAAGCACAGCAAAAGGCTTACAGCTGCAATTTCAGCAAAAAAGACACCGCCTTCTGTTTGTCTTGAAATTAATCTGCCAGCGATTTACAATAAGGCTACCCTGATAGATGGTTAATAGTTATAGATATGTTGCTTATTAACATCCCATTCTATGTTTAGTTTCCCTGTAAACATTTTAAAACTACATAGTGGTTAGTACAGTATACACTCAACAGTTAAAGCATACTAGAAAATCTAGTATTTAAATGCTTATTATGCATTTACATGTAATCTATATTGTAATGTTAAATGATTATATATGTATATATGGAATCACAACAATTATCAATGGAAATCAAATTTATTAACCAATGGAGGGCTGGATTCTAAGTCAAACTAAATTAAAGTGGAAAAACACTACAGGCTGATCCAACTCTGATACGTCTTTAAAACTGGTCAAAAGGAGGTTCAATGTTGTGTGTGGCACTTGCCTATATTACATCCCTATGACTAGGCATGCTCCTGGGGAGGGGATGGATAGTCTCCCGAGTGATCTCCCCCCATGGACTAAAGCAGGCATGTCCAAAGTCAGTCCTTGAGGACCACTGTCCTCTTTCCTGATTTCCATTGATAGCTGATTAACAGGTTTTTGCTGAACTGCAATTACCTGTGTTGAAGCCAAGAAACATTGAAAACCTGTAGGACAACGGTCCTCAAGGACAGACTTTAGACATGTCTGGACTAAAGCATCCGCCAACTTCTGGACAGTCAGTGGTCCAACTGTGGTTAGTGGATGGATTGTAACACGATGTTCCAGATGTGCTCAGTCGGATTCGGGGTCTGGGGAGCTGGCAGTCCAGTCCATAGTTTCAATGCCCTCATCTTGCAGGAACGCAGACACACTCCAGCCACATGATGGCTAGCATTGTCCTGCATTGGGAGGAACCTAGGGCCAACCGCAGCAGCATAATGTCTCACAAGGTGTCTGAGGGTCTCATCTCGGTACCTAATGGCACTCATGCTACCTCTGGCAAGCACATGGAAGCCTATGCAGCCCTCCAAAGAAATGTCACCCCACACCATTACTGACACACTGCCAATCCGGTCATGTTGAAGGATGTTGCAGGCAGCAGAACGTGGTCTGTCACATGCTCAGTGTGAACCAGCTTTCAGCTGTGAAGAGCACTCGGTGGCAGTGGCGAGTTTGCCAATCCTGGTGTTCTCTGGCAAATGCCAGGCATCCTGCACGGTATTGGGCTGTGAGCACAACCCCATTCTGTGGCAGTCAGGCCCTCATACCATCCTCATGGAGTCAGTTTCCAACCATTTTTGCTGACATGCACATTTGTGGCCTGCTGGAGGTCAGTTTGAAAGTCGCTTGCACTGCTCCTCCTGTTCCTCTTTGCACAAGGGTGGAGGTAGCGGTCCTGCTGCTGGGTTGTTCGCCTCATACGGCCTTCTCCTGGTGTAAAGCCCTGTCTCCTGGTAGCGCCTCCAGCATATGGACACTATTGCTGACAGACACGGCAAACCTTCTTGCCACAGCTCGCATTGATGCGCCATCCTGGATGAGCTGCAATGCCTGAGCCCCTTGTGTGGGTTGTGGAGCGACCACAACCACGATTGTGAAACCCCCATCCACATTCAAAAGTGACCAAAACAATCGGCCAAAGCACAGGTACTGAAAAGTGGTCTGTGATCTCACCTGCAGAACCACTCCTTTATTGAGTGTGTCTTGCCAATTACCAATAATTTCCACCTGTTTTCTATACCATTTGCAGATCAGCATGTGACATTGATTATCAATCAGTGTTGCTTCATGAAGGGACAATTTCACAGAAGGTTGATTTATATTGTGTTGTTTACGTAACCTTTATTGTTTCGAGCAGTGTAAATATCTATATAAATATCTATATCTCTCTCTATATATAGATATATATACAGTTAAACAGCTCAAGCTCACAAGTTGGCAAGAAACTGGTCAGCTTTTTTCTTGTTCTCTCCCTTAATAAATGCAAAAAAAATCACTTTTGAATGAGTTATAAAATGTTTACAAATTAATTAACATCTGAAAAAACTATTTATTATCCATCTATTAAGGTGAGCCCTTTGTAAAGTAGTACCATTAATCCTTATAAAACACAATAAGGTTTGAGTCTGCAATGGACAAATAGAAGAAAAAGATATGAATGCTTGGCAAGGCACTGTCAACTGCAGGATGGCTTGAAATTTAAAGAGGTAACGGATATTTAAAAAAGGAATACCTTCATTTCAACAGTGAATAACAAAAAAGTTTCTAGAAGGAAGAAACATGGAACCAATGTAAGGAAGGATTACAATCTCACCAAAATACAGTAGAAAAATAATGATTTTAGTGCATCTGGAATTCCTAATTATCACAAGTTAACCTCAAACTCTCAAGAAACAAACAGAATCCAAACCTTTGGCTTTGATTTTGTGTGTGTGTGTGTATATATATATATAAACATACATACATACATACATACATACATACATACACAAACACACACACATACATGAATAAAGTAACACAGCAGAAAACAATGATATGCTGATATGAGCCACAGCTGAATTAAGGTCTTATCTGTACTTTTCTGCACAACTTCACAGGTTTTATTCTTTAATCTCCTCCAAAGCAGCATTCTTGTTAAAGATTGCTGCTGCAGAAATGAGGATCTTTTAAAGGATGATCAAACTGTGAACCCAAAAACTTAATGCTGCACTTAAAGTTTTTATATCAAGCTTTACAGCATAAGCTTTAGTACAAGCACTGGTGTGCACATCGCATTACACTCAGCTTAACTTTTATTTGAACAGCACGACAGACTAGGAGCAGCAGCATTAAGCTATTCAAAGCTTGCCTATGGACCAGTGTACCTTGTGGTTTAAAGTCTTCTCCCTGCATTATACCATCAGCTTAATATACATTGATGTAATTTCCTTTTATTTAAATAATATTTGTTCCTATTTTGCAAAACATTAAGTCCATCACACCTTTTTTCACCAGTCCTCTCTCTGCTAACCATGCCTTTAATAAAATGGATATTTGTAGAGTCCCTCCTCAACTATCTGGAATTGAATCTATTTAATTATTAAAAGTTTTGTAGCTCAGAAATGTTCTTGTAGAGGTCCAGAGAATCAGGGTTGGAGAAAGCTCCTCGCTGTGTAACCTCCCGACCTGCAATGATCTGCTTCACGGCGACCTCCACCTTCTTACCACTGATGGTGTACTGCGGAGAGATGAAACAAAGGCTCCAATTGGGATGTGGTATAGAATGATCAGGTTTATGCATATCTGAGTGATATTCACGCTTCTCTTACAGGAATGTCTTTTGTCTCCAGCAGCAAGGCAGGGACGTGTCGGGCAGACAAGGCTTTTCTGATGGCTCCTTTAATCCTTGTCACCAGCTCTGGACAGAACGGCTTCCCGGGAGCCATCTTTAAGAACAAAATAACCCTTTCCTCTCCATCTGCATTGTACTGTGGCACACAAAGACTGTCTGACACTTCCTCAAAAGCCTCCACTGCAAGAAAGGTAAACAAGGAAGATGAGAAGAGCAGATGAGAGGCTGAAGAGAAAAAGAGGTGGGAAGACTAAATAAAAAGCAACAAAAAAAGATTTTTTTTTTCCCTAAATGCCTTTCTGCTTTTTCTACTAACTGACAAAAAAGGCAGCATTTCAATTATTATCCAGACAATAATCTTGCCCTCCTCTTTAATTGATTTCCTTCATAGGACTCACCAATATTGTAGATCTCTGAGCTCCCAAAGCGAACTCCATTAGGGTTCAACGTCCCATCACTAGAGTTCAATCACAAGTTTAACATTTAAAACATGGGTGACCATCACTAGGAAACTTTCTTTCAAATAATCATATATAAAATAAAGAAAAGCAACAACAGTTCAAGACAGAGCAAAGAAAGCAAAACGTAAAGCTAAGAGGCAGTTTTTATCTTTCAGCTGGTCTATAGAATAAAAAAAAAATGCATTCTACCTTTGCATTTCTTTCCTAAAGAGCAATATTTCATAAATTCAGTCAGCAATGTGGACTACAAGGTTGTTTATCAGGGAAAACAATGATAAGAAGAATTGTGATCTATCAAGATTACAATACATTTAAATTACAGAATGTTTCCAACTTTTGCAGACTGATTTTTTTCTTTCACTTGTTCAATATTGATAAATTGTAATTGATTTGAAAATATGACTGAGTATCATAGGACAACTTAAGGTATAGTGGAGGATGTTAATTTTTCCTGGTGGATCATCTAAATTAGTGGTCCTCCTAATTGTCAATCATTCTGGTGATATATTTATGTAAGGCCGTCCTACATGCTCATCCACAGGTAGCTATCTTTTCAGATGTGGTGGGCTACAGTTTCAGACAGTCATTGAAGCTCGCCT